CCCCCGGCTTGAAAATCCAAGTCTTTGCTTCAAACTGTTTTTCGTGAGTGTGGTGAAAATGATTAATTTTCAAAGAGGTCAAAGGTTTCCCCCCCCAAAAAAGGCAAATTTCAGCCCTAGGTACCCAAAGCTGGTTTTGAAAACTTGGAAAAACTGGTATTTGTGGAAGTCCTGAAGCCCAGTAACGAGGCGTCTAGCTGCTGCGCACTTATAATAGAGTTTCGCGTATAAAACTTGATTTTTTTTTAGGAAATGGGCTGTGTCGTGCCTTAAGCAAGTGTTCGGAGTGTTGCTCACAATCAGCTCTAAAATCAGCAGCAGCCTGGGTAAGGAGTCTTAACTTTTGTTGTGCCAACCCTTCCCTGGAGCACAGTCCGTCGCTTTTCGCTACAAAACCACCCAGAAAAATCCCCTTATTATTCCACAATAAGGAATTTATACATTTCATAGAAATGCTTTAAATTTTTTTCCCTTTTTTTTTTTTCCTGTGCCAGAATGCTGGCTTTCCATTTTGAAATCCCCCAGCAGCCATGCAGCCTCCCTTAATGCCAGCAGGGAGAGGATCTCAGGGTGTCAGGATCGGCAGCTGCTGTCATCCCTGAAATTATATCTTCAGCTGGCGCAATAATTACCGCTTCATTTCAGTGGCCCTTTCCCCGCTGCGTGAAATGTCTCCTGTTGCTCAGGGGGAGGCAGCATCTTCTAAATAATAGCGGCTGGGCAGAGGTGAGAGAGTGTGGTCAGTGCCCTCTTGTGGAAAATTATCTTATTTTAGAAAAATAAATTTAAAAATAAACTTGAGGAACTGCCATTAGGGGGTGCCCGCATGGTAAAACTGTCCTGCTGATTACACCTCTGGCTAATTAATTACCCCACTGGCACCAGGGTAGGGCAGTGACCCAGAGCAGGGTGCGCTGGCAGAGCACAGTGCTGGGTTAAACAGAAGTTCCATATCCGGACAGTTCTAGCGGAATACTAACACGTCTGCACACGTAGTTATGGTATTTGAAATTAATACCCTGCTTCCCAGTCTAAATTCACTTGAAAATGGGGACATCTCCTTGCTGTGCAACCGGGGTGTTGACACAAGGCATGTGGGGGTTTCTAAATAAACACAAACGCGTCTTTAAGCGTTAATCATCACGGAGCAGGATGTGGAACGAAACCTTTAACTCCAAGTCTGCACAAAAAAAAAAATAAAGCCTTCAGCATTTGGCCGAGCGAAGGGCCGGGTCTGTTAGGAGCCTTGAGAGACAGCGGAGAGGAGCTGAAGCACGGCCAGGAGGCGTTTGGGATCGCGGGCGGCATGAATCACCTCACGGAACTGGTTGCCTCTTTCCACTGCGCTCCCAAACTGGAGACTTTAATCGGGTGCCTGAGGTTAGTGGGGATGGATTGGAGCCCGGCTGCAGAGAAAAGGATGAGGCGGTGAGGATGGTACCCTCAGGAAGCGCAGGGAGGAGGAGGGCGAGGTGAGCGTGTCCCGCTGATGGGATGGTCATGAGCTGTCTCTGAAGAGATGGATGAAAAGGTCTTACACAGGCAGTGGGAAACGAGATCGTAACTTTTCAATTCCCATGTGTCTGAAAGAAGCTCAGGATGTTAAGGAGTTAGTCAAGAGGGACTTCAGTGGTTAATGCCATCATGCTGCACACAAAAACGGGAAAATGCGTTGGTCAGCTTAGGGGCAGTATTTGGGAGGATTGCTCTGCGTAATCAGAACGTATTAAGGTTGTACATAGAGCGACTTGGCTTTTGAAAGGAACCGGTTTGGAAGGATGTTCCTTGGATGCTCCTTGTGCTCTGCCTGAACACTTTCTCACAGTTTAAAATCAAATGGCACGTTCAGGCGATGTTGCGTGTCGCCGTTGCTCCCGCGTAGTTAAAGGGGGTGAAGCGTCATCTGCTGGGAAAGGACAGGACGAGCAAGTCCCAGGTGATGCCTGTGTACTTGTTTATGTTTTCAAAGAGGTGGCTTCCTCAGGGAAAGTGACTTTTCACAACAGGGATTTCCCCCAAATGCTTTTAGAATCCACATATTTGAAAAAGTTATTTCTGGGGCCTGAACTGCACGATCTGAGCAAATCCCAAGTCTTCCAGGGAACTGGAAAAATATCTGCAGGCATGCTTCAGCTCTCTAGTAACATCAGTTGCTCCAACGCACTTTTGGTAAATATTTAGACTTATTTTCTTCTCTTTGTTTTTTCCTCGTCAAGGGACAGGAAGAACTTCATCAGCCGTATCCTTTTCGTACCTTTCACCCCTCACATGCGGGAATCTCCAGGTAGACTAACCAAAACGCACCTTTCTCTCTACTAAATCTGCAAAATGCCATTTTTGTGTTATTCTTTGAGGCTGACACAGCCAACAAGAGGTAGTAAAAGCAGCCTGCAGTAGTAGTTCCTCCTCTCTCAAGGTAATTCACCTTACCTTTCCTCCTGCCAAGATCTAAGTAACCTCCTAAGAGGAGGCACCCTTGGCTTCAGACATTTCCATGCTTAGAACCTATCTAGTAATTTTTTTGCTCCACCTTCCTTCAACTGGAAAAACACAACAAAACTGGTTCTGTTTCAAGAAAATGAGCTGCCCTGGGAACTGGAAGATCCACCACATGTGGGTGGGTGCTCCCTGTGGTTCCTGGAAAAGATGCTTGGGGTGAAGGCCCTGCTTGGAGATATTCAGAGGATTTGAGAAGGGCTGGGGGAGAGAGAGGAGGATAAAGAGCATTTTGAGTCTAGAAAGCCAGATATGGAAATAATGAAATCTGCCCTGATAACTTCTGTAAATCATTGTATTAGTTAAGGCTGAGGAAGGCACTTGGGGTCACTGGATTATCAGAAATACACACAAATAGCCAAACTGTCTGGATTCTTCTTCAGACGCCTTTTGAGGACGTGCTGAGGGTTGGGCAGCTCTCAGAAAGCTCGGCAGCGGATGCACACGGACAGGCAGATCACTAAGGCTAAACATTTTCTTACACCGTCCAGTAGTTAGTTTTGTGAGCAGTGACTTGAGGAAGTCCATCTCTTACGAACTGACATCTCAGAATTCAGCTCGTGGCCCTGCTCAGGCACGTCACGAAGCCAGAGCCCGGCTTTCAGACTTTCCATCCTGTGGGCAGTAACAGTCTCCTTCACAGAGCCACCTATTTTCAAAAACTGTCAGGAATTTGGTGTCTTGGAGCCTGCCAAGCCTCTGTCAGCTTGCTTAAGGCTGACTAACAGGTATGGAAGTTGTTTGGGGAAATGCACACAGGCACCACCACCCCTCATTTCCGTAGGCTAACGAATACTTTGCTACATACAAAATATTTCAAAAAAAAAAAAAGGAACCGAAGCCAAACCTGAAACAGCAAGCTTTTATCCTAACTCCCGGTGTTCACAACCTCAAGTTGCTTTCTGAACCTCACCCAGTCACAGCTGAACCATTTAATATAAAAAGGCACAGCAGCGTATTTTGAGGTTACGGGGAAACGGTGACTTTTTGGAAACGGATCCCACCTCATTGCTACGAGAAATCCTTAACAGCAGCTCTCAGCTGTCATCCCTTCCTTTACAGATCCTATTTCACGTCAGTGGGATTTATTACATCTTTTACTTCTTGGCAACCCTTGCGATGATCGTTTATAAAAGTAAGCTGCGCGTATTGTAACCCACAGGCGGGCTGGGTGTGCTGTCAGCGTGCCGACTGTATTTTCCTGGCTTATTTACGCTGCGTTTTTCTACAGGTCAAGCTTTCAGCTACCCAGATGAATTTTTGGCTCCAGATCTTGCCGTCCTTCTCATTATGGCCGTTCTTGAAGTGCTCCGATTATACTTGGGTACGTCACATTACCGCCATGTGTTTTCAGCGGGATATAATGTTTGAAAAGGAATCATTCTGAAGCGGAGCATGTGTCAGAGCAGGCAGTTTAGGAAAGCGTTGTTCATTTTTGTCATTAAACTTTACCAGAGCAATAGATTTGGCCAGTGTTGGAGCTCGCTAAAATTTCATCTAGTCTGATTTTTTAAAAAAACAAAAGTTACTATTGAAATCTGTGCTTGAAATTCTTAGACATTTATGCAAGGTGAGTTCTTGAATCCAGCTGACTTGCTGCAGGGGCGAATTCAGCCCGCCGCACAAGTTTGCTTGGAGTCAGTGGATGAATAAAGAAGCGAGTTTCAAGTCTGACGTGGTTAAACAGCAAAATCTACTGAGACGAGTTTGGAAATGAGATGCAAGGAGAGGTGCAGCTTCTCCACAACGACAGTAATTCGAAATAGGAAGAGATGAGCAGGAAAAAGAGAAGATTCTATATCACGTAAGATTTTAGAATCCAGATTGGGTGCTCTTCGGTCCCCACCTTGTCTCGGTAAGCGTGGGGCTGGGGGAGAGTTTGCTGGTTGACTAAGAAGCTGCGTGATCAGAACGGTTGTGGCTTCAAAACTGTGATATTGTCAGAAGAAATCAAAGCCTCACGTCAGCTTTTTTGTTTCCCTCGAGGTTCGAAGGGTAACCTGACAGAAGAAGAAACTCCATTAGGGCTCAGTCTTGCGATCACGGTCGGCAGCGTGATCCTGTCGGTGTATTTCCTGGTGTGGCAAACCTATGTGCTGAAAGCAGACGTCATTTTAAACGCTGTTCTTCTCTTGACCTACGGGCTCGAGTCAGTACTAAAGGTCATGGCCATCGCTGCTTTTGTCAGCTAAACCCTCGCCGTTTTCAAGACATTTCTCCTATAAAAGAGCGGGGCTACATTTCAAACATATTTTGCCTATAAAAATCCTGCACAACTCCTCTCTGTTTAAAGTACAAATTTCTGGAGGGCAGAGATCTCCCTGGCTGGCAGGTACAATATCCAGTCGAGCAGCTGGGTTCACGCTATCTCGTCAGTCACCTGGTTTATGGGCAAAGGCAAGAGTTGATTCAGCAAAACCACTTCACGCTCTGGAATTCGTCGGGGCTGGGTTCTGCGCAGCGCACCGTCCTGCTCCGTGGTGCTGGGACGACGTTGCGTTTCCCCGGCACGGCAGCAACGTCCAACCCAAGCGACACAGAAACGAATGAGGCCGATGGAGCAGGGCCTCGTTCCTGCCTTGCCACACACGTGTTTGAGGGCACCGTTTCTCTTCTGCTCTCATTTTTGTTGTCAGCCCCCAGTGGTAATTTAGTAGGGCAGTACCTGATTTATCCCGGCGGGAGAAGAGCTGAACTGAGTCTTGCGTGTACCTGGAGAGCCGAGCTCCTGGTTCTCACCGACGCGGAGGTCAAAGGCAGCGGTGCAAGTGCGTTTGTATAACCTTAAGATGAGCATAAACATTCACCATTCGCTCACCTTGCTGTCCTGTTTAAAAATCCAGCAGAACGTTGTCCTGTTTGGTGTTAAAAGTGTTTATTTCTGTGATCCTGCAAGAACTACTACATTCACATCTTGTCTTCTAAATGAAGACCTGTGTGCAATTTCAGATTTTTTTACTGTACCAAAAAGACATGTGTATTAACCTAAAGCTTGAGGAGTTTGCGGAGCTTTGGTATGGGTGGGTTTTATATTCGGAATTTCCCGATTTTGTATTTATTTATTCAAATAAATCACGTTTTAGATCTAAGGAGTGTTGGAAGCGCAGAGCACACCACCCCACAGTACGAACCAGAATACACACACACACGCCGGCACCGACCAGCCTCGGGCCAGGCCCTGTAAACTCCGTGGCGCGACCAACCCTTCGTGGGTCAGCGGGAGCAGGGCTGCGCCCGTGAAGTGACAAAAAAGCAGCAGAACTGGGTGCTCAGGGACAAGATCTCTGTGCTTCACCTGCGTGAATCAAGCACCCACCCACCTGTCCTTCCACATTTGGTTGGCATAAAGGAACGTGCTCATCACCTACTCGTTACGAGGAGCGGCCCCCATACCGAGCTGTACCTGCCCTGCTGGTGACGACGGCATCCCGAGCAAAACCCCTTTCCGTGGGCGTGCAAATAAAAGCACAAACTCTTCCTGCCTCGCATGAAGGCCTGGCAATAGACAATCTGCTAAGTTTTAAAGGAAATACTGCAAAGTGGAGTTTGTTTTTACCTGAATGCGGGTGGCACGGCAGACGGGGTCCCACACCTTAACTTCAGGTTGCAGTCTCCGTGCTTGACCTTCCTCTTCTGGTGGTGCTCGCTGCAAACAAAATAAATACAAAATAGTAGCACAGCTCGAGACCCAGGGTGTAGATCCCATAAAGCTAGCGGAAGGTGTTCCTACCCGGCGGCGTGTGACCCCCCCAGAGATCACCACCCCCTCACCTACAGCTCTGAAACCAGTTGTGATGCTGCGCCAGGAAACTGGATCCCCAGCCAGATCCACACAGAAAGGAGCCCTCAAACACGGGTCTGATGAAAGTGTTCATTAGGTGACGGCTCCCCACAGCACGGGACAAGCGCGGGACACTCTGCTGGGCCAAGCAGAGAAAAGCAGCCTCCTCCTCCAGCTTTCTGAAACACCGTCCGACATATCTCTGTTATAAAACGCGGGGAATCCTTCACTCCCGAAGCATCACCGAGATGAAACACAATCAGCAGAGACTGGTGATGTTTGCTGCTCGTCAGCAACGGGGTAAATACACACAAATGATAAAGAACATAAATTTTTGAGCTCCTTTCAGGGCACTGCCCGCTGGGCACAGAGTCCTGGGTGACTGTCCAGGCTTGCTGGGGGTCAGCTGCCACCCACGGGGATTCGCACCTGCAAAAGGGCAGGACGGCTCATTGCAGCTTTCCAGCTGAAGGTAAAATTGTCCCTGAGCTTTCGGACTCCTGCTGGTCACCTTGATTTTGTGACAGCTTCTCTCCAGGCCGAGCTCGTACAAAGACCCAAAGTGAATCGGGCTGTGGCCTCAGAGAGTTTGTCTGATCACGAGCTCCTTTCCAAACGGTTCCCACTGTTGGGAGAAGCAGGGCACGGCGTAGTGAAAGCCATTGGTGACATTTGCCAGACATAAGATTGCCGGAGCTTTTAATTATGAGACCCAGCCCTTCTGGAACAGGACGAGCAAGTTGGATGAAAACGGCATTAAAAATTTAGAGGAATACATATTTTGAGGAGCTGGGTTTGGGTGTTGTTTACTGTGCAAGGAAGAAGCCTTTGTTCTCAAGCCATCCCAGGAGCGTCTGCCGCCAACCTGATGTAAAACGCTGATCCCGAGAGGCAAGTTACCCTCCTGGGATTCCCAGTGCAGAGATACTCCGGGAGATAGGATTTTATTGGTCCACAGGTATCTTTCTGTTCCTCAGCAGGCAGAAGGAGCACACAGCCCAAACGCCAGTGAAGGAACGAGGCTGAGGACTCGCCCCAGTTTGGGTCCACACCTGGGAGCCGAGTGAGCAGAGCGAGCTGGTGGAACAGCCACCACAGCAGCGTCATTCCCCTCCTGCTGGTGGCCGCTGGCCCACATACACCAGCATCAGCTCTTGCAGGAAAGATGTAATAAAGCTTCATTGTGGTTTCCTTCCCTGCCCAAGGGAAAAGTTACCTCCTCCGCTCAGTAGCTGGAGGTTTCCTACAGGGCGCAGCACCTCGCGATAGCCCTGTCTTCATCAGGAATGTGGAGCGAGCAAGCGGTCAGCGCCTTCATCATGACCCGGCTTCTCCTACAGAATCCTTCCCAATCCCAGGCTGCAGCCCAGCCCAGCGGTCCCGCTGAACAGGGATGCTGCCGGAGCGGCAGATGACATATTTCAAGGATCTCCCGTGCAAAACCTTGCAGCTGGCAAGACTCGCCGGGCTCCGGCACAGCCGACGTTCCCACTGCATTTCCCTTCTGTCGGGCTGCTGGTGTGGCCAGGGGTCACTTC